CATCTTCTAAAGTTGAAAACAATGGGGAAAAACGGGTATCAGCAAGAGGATTTCCAAAGTCAGGGGACATGATGCCAAATGATCTGATGCTTTGGAGTCCAGGGGCAGGCCTGTGCTTCCTCTCCTGTATGTGTACACAGCCAGCCCTCTGTATCCAAGGGTTCTGCATCCACAGATTCAATCAACCTGCCTATTCGGAGGGCCGACTGTACTATCCTTTTAATGTATGGGACTCGAGCATCTGCCGATTTTGGTACCCACCAGGGTCCTATAACCAAATCCCTGAAGATATCGAGGGGCAATTTAGTTATTCTTTGTGAAGTAATTTACTCTTTGTTCATTTTTACCTTTCATCTAACATTTAAAGTGAGGTTTGGGTTTTTTTAATTGAAGAGAGAGGTGGTGTTTTTATTTTGTTTCAATTTTTTAAATAGTTGCTTGGTTTTGTGTCTATTCATCCCATATCCTACGTTCAAACTCCCTTTTCAGCCTTGTCTTGCAGCCATGATATATGTAGACAAGGACAAATCAGCAAACAAAAATCTTCTTCCTTGATTTTAATTAATTAATTTATTTATTTTGGCTTGGCTTGGCTTGCCAATTTAGGAGTACTATATGGAGTATCCATTCCCCAGTTGGGTCATTATTGTAGGTGTTTTAACAACTGAATGGCATACATGATTAGATAGCCTAAGACGGCTGTTGCTGGAGACAAACTGATTAGAGTCCACTCCTGTCTCTTGGCCTTTTCTCATAGTATGACCTTGGGCAAGTTCCTTAACTTCTCTAGGCCTCGGTTCTCCTAAAAATGGGGGCAGTAACAGTATTTTCCTGGCAGTTAGTAAGTTCTCCATGTTACTATTATTATAATGGTTCAACAAAGAATGTTTCCTTTCACATTTCTTGACAATAACAATGATGACAATTACTGCTACTACCATCACCACTATGACCATCACTAGTAAGAATAATAATGACAGCAGCAGCTATATCATCTGCCTGCTAGGTGCCTACCACTGTGATATGTGCTTCATATATAACTGAACATTTGAAAAATCAGAATATATATATGTATGTATTCTGAAATCTGATCTGATGCTTTATAAAAGCCTTTGGAGAGTTAGGTTAAAGGAAAATTTTCTCCTTGTTTCCTGTGTACTTAATAACTACTATAAAAGTAGTTATTGCATTAATAATTAACTGCATTAATAATACAGTAATTATTAACCATGAAACCACTGACAAAAAGGGAATGAAAACATTACTGATCAAGTTGTAGCTTCTTGCAGTGTGTATTACTTCTCCTTTCCATTTTCAGCAGAAAAAGAGTTGAGGAGAGATGATGGAGGCATTAGCAGGCACCTGTTTCCAAAGCTACTCTTTTCCTTACGGCTCCAGTCCCTATTCCTAAAGCCACCAGTGATAGAAGCTGCCTGTTCTACTCCACCCTTCTTTTGTCTATCTTTCTGTAGAGAAGAGAAAAAGGCTAGAGCAGAGAGGCACCAAACCACACTGTCATGGTGGTTTGTACTTGATTCCACTTATATTTTGAGCAATTAATTAGTGGTGCAGAAAGAGCTCATATTGGGTACCATCCCTTTCTTAGAGATTTCCTCAATACCCCAAGAGTGCCTATTTGCATCTCAGAGGTCTGTAGTACTATAACAAAACATTTAATATAGTTTTCCCTGTGTAATTTCACAGTAATAAAAGAAAACATGGAAAAGCAATACAGTGCAGTCTCACAAACTTAATGTCAGCCAGAGACATAAAATATCTGCATATGTACAGAATTCACAAGTCTGTTCTTTTTGTATTTCATTTAACAACTGATTCTAAAAAGTATTTCTCCATTTTCTGACCTGAAGTTAGATTTATTCACGCTGACTCTTAGTAGGATGCTATGTCATTGCAGGCCCTGGGGGCTGTTTGAGATTCAGAGGAAAGGAAGGCTGGTAATCTAGGTGGATAAGGCCAATGATTTCAGTGACCCTAAATATTACAGCATATGATATTAAGAATACACTGCACTAAAAAAGCTTTTTCCTTTGAACTCTGCCCATCTTTGGGTAGCATTGAACTGTCAGTGAAGAACTCCATACTCAGCACTAAACAAGTTTGGGGCCAGTTCTGTCATTCTTCACCTTATCATTATCATTTTTAAAACTGCCCAGTTATGTTTTCATCTGGAATAGTCAGCCCCTTCTTTTTACGCTCCCAAGGCTGTTCCATGGGTACTTCCTGTTGGCTTCGTCTGAGTATTGCTCAGGATTATGCTCTTGTAGGATTATGTGTATGTTTTATGGTGGTGAAACTGGATCGCCCATGTTTATGTTACTTTAATATTTTAATCAGCACAATATTCATTTGATATATGTCATATTACTCCTTAAACTATGCTTAAATTGAAGGGATTGAGATCATGCAATCTTCCATGTATAATTGGGCACTTCTTTATTCAACTAAAAAGATCTCTTGGAGAATGTAGGTTTTCAATGATGAAAGGAAGATAATTTGTTGAGCAGGTAATAGATTAAGAAGAGGCAAGATTTCTAGGCATTTGGTGCTCTGGAGAAAGGCTAAAGGTCCACCTTTGAAGTTATTCCATTGTTCTCCACGAATAAAAAATCCCATGGTTGACTGTGCTAGTTCCTGGTATTTTGCTCCCTTCAACAAGGAAGAAAGGTAAAATGGCTATTCGATTTTGACTTAGATGCATAAACTAGTGACACAGCATATTTCTCTTCCAACCCGCACCCTGTTTTGATTATGCGTGGTTCTGTTTAAAAATAAATTGCTTTAGAGAAATTAAATGTTTATAGTTGTACTGGTGGGGTTTTAGAAGCTTGGGCAAAAACTTGGTATTTCAGGAAAATTTCATTTGACGGGCTTTGTTGATTTTCTGCCACTTACAACTTTGAATTGGGTATTATATGTATACTTTTGTGTATGTACTTATTGTAAGAAAGAACCTAGTAATTTATTTTTTCCAGTTTTACTGATATGTAACTTATATATAACGTGTATTAGTTTTAGGCATACAACATAACTATTTGATATGTGTATATATTACAAAATTATTACTACAATTAGTTTGGTTAACATCCATCACCTCACATAGTTACAAAATGGTTTTTTCTTGTGAAGAGGAACCTAGTAATTTAAATCCATGGCATTTGGTTTCTTATTACCTACTTTGAGAAAGGTTGTCAAAATATGATTACAGCTTTTCCTCCAAATCATAGGAATCTCCAACAAAGCTTTGATAAACTGAGACCCTCCGATGGGAATCTCTGTATACTATTCACTGCTACCAGAAATCATGTAAGAAGCCTCCTTTGCTATATATAGAAGCAGTTCAGGGCCACCAAAATCTCCTATGGAGCTCCTTTGTGTGATCTAGGAAACCTGAGAGGAGGGTTGAGGTGTGGTATGCATCACCCCTTCTCTGCTCATGGGTCATCACCACTGGATCTTGGCTCCCTTTACCTGCTGAGCCCGATGCATGCTCAGGGTCCTCTCAAATAGTCCTCCAGGGAGTCAGTCAGAGTTGGAGATACAGATGAAATTTAATATCTACCCCTCTCCTTGATGGGGAAAGTGGAGCTAAGATATTCTCAAAATTGCGTTTCTTGAAATGGGATTTACCCAAGTTAAGCCCATCCTCTAGGAGTGCAAGATTTGTCATCTAGATATTGAGTCCTGGTTCTGACCTTTACCAGTGGGGTGATAGTGGGCAAGTCACTTGGCTTCTCCAAGCCTCAGTTTTTTCATTTATGAAGTGGGAAGAGGTCATACCTACTTCAGAATACTGAGGATTAAATAAAGTAATTTTTGGGAAGTGCTTGGTATACTGTCTAGCCCAACAGTTCTTAGACTTTTCATCTCATAACCGCTTCATACTCCTAAAAATGATTGAGTTTTGTTTATGTATATTATATTTATTAGAATTAAGAAAATTTCAAAGTATTTATTAATTTAAAAAATTAACAATAAGCCCATTATATAGCAACATAAATAACATGAAAAATAACTGTATTTCCCCAAAAAAAGTTAGTGAAAAGAGTAGTCTGTCTGCTTCTGCATTCAATCTGTTGCAATATCACACATCATATAGCCTCTGGAAAATTCCACTGTAAACGTATGAAAGAATGAGAATGAAAAAGGCAAATGATATCCTAATAATAGTTTGAAAAGAGTTTTGACCTCATGGAACCCAGAAAAGGTCTTGGGGACCTCAGATCAATCGTTAGCATAGCCAACATTTAGCACCCAATAAATTTAGTTATTGATCTGTATGGAAGTTTTTGTAACTAGTGATGAGAAGTAAAGGCGATTGCTTCAAAACTTCTTGTTCTGTACTTTCCTAAAGGGTCCCAAATAAGACTGTGATTCAAACTAAGCAAAAGAAATAACATTGTTTTTTAAATAAATACTAATAATACACGAACAAGTTCTTTGAATTTTAAAAGGCTCAAATCTTGCTTTCAGGAATTTGTCAAATGTATTATCATAAAGCTTTTATTTTTTTTTTCTAGAGAAGACTCTTTTTCCCTCCTAGGGTAATAAGATCTTAGTAGAGAGAGAAGTAATTTGATATTTACTCTGAAACCACTGATACTGTTCCTATGGGGTTTTGGCAGCCCACCAGTTTAAGAAGGTGTGGCCCCATTGTCACCATGCTGGGCTTCACGACTGACAGGTCAATCTTGATTTACTAGTTGGAGAACCTTCACTTAAAGCACTTATTATGGTTTGATCCTCAGATACAAGATCCCTTAAAGGGGATTTTTGAAAGCCCCTTTGGATTCTAAAGACAAGAAGCAAAAGTGATGTAACAGATAAATTGATAAGGTGTCTCAAGAAATATAGGTAAAGTTCATATAGTTCCAATCTTAGGATATATGGGTATAGTTTATATCAGCTATCTGTGTACTTTGCAGACATATGGCCCTCTAATTGTATCAATTTTCTCCTTTCTCTTTTTCCTTGGGAGGTAGTGTAGACCATGGGGAATTCATATGCTGGGCAACTGAAATCTGCTCGATTTGAAGAAGCTCTCCACAACTCCATAGAAGCCTCTCTCAGATGTAGTAGTGTGGTACCACGACCAATTTTTTCCCAGCTTTACTTGGACCCTGACCAGCATCCTTTCTCATCTGCAGGTAAGTTTCTCAATCCCACACATTTCTAGACTCCTTTTAGTAGAAGTGGGATCTCCAAATCTGGGGGTATCTGAAATAAATGGGTTAAATGTTAGCCAATGCCAGTCTCCCTGTCCTCAGATATTTTTCAGAACTATGAATTTTTCTTTTGGTTATTTTCCCACAAGCATTTTTATTAAGTTAGCTATGATTTATTTGCTTACCCAGATGTAAAACCCAAGGTGGAGGATCTGGATAAAGATTTGGTACACCGCTACACTCAAAATGGAAGCCTGGATTTTTCTAACAATCTAACAGTAAATGAAATGGAAGATGACGAAGATGATGAAGAAATGTCTGATTCAAATAGCCCACCAATTCCCTATTCACAAAAACCTGCCCCCGAAGGGTCTTGCACTACAGATGGTGGGTTGCCTTTTTTTTTTTTTCCAATTCCTCTAATATTGTCTGGCTAGTTTCCAATCATTGCATGGGGTGCTCAAGGCTGGGAACCAGTAATTACAGAAAGGAATGAGGAATGATTATGCTTTCACTCACATTATTGCCTGTGATTTCATAGCAGGTGTCTATTAAGAAAGACAAGCATTATCACCCCATCTTGTAGATGAAGAGACTGAGATTCACAGCAATTGAATGACTTCTCTGAGATGGTATATGGCAGAGGCAAGCCTAGACCTAGCTCAGGACTTTTTCAATGCTCCAGGTGCTTCCTGCAAGAATGTGACTCCTTCAGAAACTTTATTTTAGTGACCTCTCTTTCTGTGTCTTTCTGTTCCACTCTCAAAACAATTACAGAGATATCAGGTGTTTTAATATTTACCTTTTCCATATATTTTGAAAATTCATCCAGTATACTGTTATCTCTAGAAGATTAAAATGAACATATTTTGATAATCCCACTTTATTTATCTTCAACCTCCTCTTCTACCAAGGCTTTAACCACACTTTTAAAAAGAAAATCCTACGTAGAATGTTTTCAGTATTTCATGGTTTTGGTGATGTAACAACTTAAATTATACTCACTTACCTCCATTTAGTGGCACACGGTGCTGTTTTCTGGCCATCCCAGCCTGATTTCTAATTAGTTCATAATTTGATAGTTTATAGTTTGCCCATAGCTCTTCCAGTTTGGCTCATTCTAAGGTAGTTCTAAGAGTCCTCTCCCTCAAAGGCAGAACAGCCCTGAAATTTTCCTTATGAAAATGACAGTGAAATAGAGCAATACAGTGCCTGGATTTGTTTCAGCATACCACCTCCTCTTCATGGGAAATCCTCTATTTACCTAAGACTCCTAAGACTTAAAGGAAGGTAAAGCTATTTTTAGAGGCAATTTAGATAAGCAGATACTTAACACCCCATGGGCTTCTGGGGGTGCCATTCAGATGTAAAATATGGTTGCTAATTTCTTATGTAAATTATTGGTAGGTTCCTACCCTGCTGGGAGGCAGTTGATCGTCTAAAGGGGTAAAGGGCCGCCAGATTTTAGGCCTCCAAATACTGCTTTGATTAGTTTGTGTTTACAGCTGTTTCAGTAAACTTTCCCCTCCCCCATTTAGATTACTCTGTAACCTTCAAGCTGGAGATAATTGGAGAATGCAAAATCTGGTTCTGTGAAGTGAAAACCTTGGCTATTAAGGAAATGCAGATGAGGTTTACAAAGAAGGGCTCTGTACTATGGCTCCCCTTTAAAATTAAAATCACTTGCTGCAAGAGTCTTGCTTTTAAGGCAGCATGTCAGTATTACCCCCAGAAAATGCGTTTGAGAGTAGGGGCAAGTTTGTCAAATAAATTATTTGTGTGCCCCATAACGTACTTTTCTTTCCTTGATTACAGTAAATAGGCTTACACCCCCACACACACTTAGGGTACTTTTCCCCAGGTCCTCCAGTAGCCTCTAAAAGAAAGATCCTATCTTTCTTTCAGGATTAGTTCAGATATAATTTAAAATTACCCTAGAGGGGAGTAATAAGGTTACTTCTTATTTTATCTTAGGTTTTAATTGAGATTTAATATTTATTATATTAATTTTCTGACATATTTCTAATAGTGGGGAAATTGAACTACCTGCTACACCAGATATTTGGATCCTATAGGTCTTGAAATATAATCACATTTCATAGATTCTTTAGCTACTTCTTTAGACACACACAGAGCTTATTTTCAATCTTTTTAAAAAACTAAATTAAATATTGCTCTTTGCATAATATATTTTTTCTTAACTGGGGATCCCTGATGATATAGTTTGTATATAATTAGCTGATCTGAATCACAAGAATGAAGGTTTGGAGGAAACAGTCCAGACCCTTGTGAGCATATTCTCTAACTACAAAGTGAACTCAGGAACTTTTCCTTGACTTTGCAACCATTTCTGGCCTTGGATTGATTTCTTCGTGACCCTGTTCCTGGACTCAGCCTTGCCTTTTCTTTCTCACCTATTCTCTTTCCTCTTAATTAAATCACCTGTGTGGCTTCTGCTGGTGATTAACTGGAAGGCAAGAAGATAAAACAGGACATTTTAAAAATGGACTTTTAAAAAAATTTAAGTGTAGTTGATTTATAATGATGTGTTAATTTCTGCTGTACAGCAAAGTGATTCAGTTATACATATATATATATACACACACACACATATATATTCTTTTCCATTATGGTTTATCACAAGATACTGAGTACAGTTCCCTGTGCTATACAATAGGACCTTGTTGTTTATCCATTCTACGTATAATTTGCATCTGCTAACCCCATACTCCCAATCCATCCCTCCCCGTTCCTTGACAACCACAAGTCTGTTCTTTGTTAGACTTTAAGAACAGATTTAGATTTACAGAAAAATTGCTAAAATAGTACAGAGTTTCTGTATATCCCCACAGTTTGCCCTATTGTTAGCATGTCACATTACTAGTAATTTTAGTAATAATGAAAGTCCATAGTTTATTTGTGTTCTTTAGTTTCTACCTAATGTCCTCTTTCTGTTCCAGAATCCCATCTAGGATACTACATTAGATTTAGTTGTTATGTCTCCTTAGGCTCCTCTTGGCTGTGACAGTTTCTCAGACTTCCCTTGTTTTGGCTGACCCTGACAGTTTTCAGGATTATAGGTCAGGTATATTCTAGCAGACCTTCTATAGGAGTTTGTCTGATGTTTTTCTCCTGATTAGACTGGGGTTATGGGTTTGGGGGAGGAAGATCACAGAGGTAAAGTGCCATTTTCATCATACTATATCAAGGGTACTACTATCAACATGATTTATGACTATTGATGTTGACCTTGATCACTGGCTGAGATAGTGTTATCTCCACTCTCCCCCCACACCCCGCCCCGCCCCGCCCCCATTACCATACTGTGGAAGAAAGTCACTGCACTCAGCCCACACTTAAGGAATACGGAGTTATGCTCCACATCCTTGAGGGCAAAGTATCTAATACATTATTTGGAATTCAACTGCATGGAAATTTGTCTCTTCTCCCTCATTTATTAATTTATACAGTCATTTATTTATATCATTATACACTTATGAATATTTATTTTATGTTTTGGGTTATAATCCAATACTACTTTATTTTTTTGCTCCAATTTTTCCAGTTTTGGCGATTGATAGCAATTTCAGTTGGTTCCTGTGCCCCTTTTATATGCTCCCATGATTACGGTTTTCTTTTTAGGATAAAATAGGACATTTTCTCTTTTCATTGTCACAAGCACTTTCTGAAAAAAAATTTTAAGAGGAGGTTTGCTTCCTCCTTCTATGAGAAAAACATTCTTCTCCTAGAATCGTCATTAATAATTATTACTTTTCACCTCTAGGTGTCCTCATATCATAAATGGGAAAACCTTCAAATGCTGTAGCACTGAAAGCTATTTGTGCTTTTTTTTTTTTTTTTGGTGGTACGCGGGCCTCTCACTGTTGTGGCCTTTCCCGTTGCGGAGCACAGGCTTCCGGACGCGCAGGCTCAGCGGCCATGGCTCACGGGCCCAGCCGCTCCGCGGCATGTGGGACCTTCCCGGACCGGGGCACGAACCCGTGTGCCCTGCATCGGCAGGCGGACTCTCAACCACTGCGCCACCAGGGAAGCCCCTTTGTGCTTCTTAATTTGAGTGGACTGTGTAGTTTTCATTATACCACAGAAATCATTCTGAAATCATCTTTCTTCCAGAGAAAATCCTGCTTTCTTCAGATATTTTCCACACTGTGTCTTCTCTACTCTATCCCTGTTTAGCCCAAAACTGAAATTGTACTTTGCCCCCTTAATCTCCCTTTGGCTACAATGTATTGCTTTGAGAAAGCTCATCAGAAATGTCAGTCTCTAATCAAGGGACACCTTTGTGACTTGCAAAACCATGAATTTTAAGGATTCATCAGCAGGTGTGAGAGAGGTGGATGCTGACATAGCCCATGGCTGGCAGGGGCTACTGTGTCAAGTACCTGCCAGGATTCAGCCTGGAAAGTTGAGTGATGAGTCTCAGCAAGGATAGGCAAGGAAGAAGCTATAGGAGAGGGTCCTACATCAGACCAGGGAAGGTGAAGCATTCTGTGAGTCAGAGCGGATGTTAACGAGGACGAAGGAGGCTGTAACCTGGAGTCAAGAGACCTGGGTCCCAACTTGGTGGGTTGCTGGGTATTTGACCTTGGGCTGTTTTCTTAACCTTTATGGGCCCTAGCTTCCTCATTTACATACTAAAGAGATTGGGATAGATTAGTGTTACCCAATCTTTGATTTACAAATCTCTCTTATAGTAATACATAGTCTTTTGAACCCCTTAGGAATTTAAAAACTAATTCTGTCACTATATGGCATGTGATAAAGAATAAATTTTAAGTAGAAAATATTTATTTTAGATTAGTATATTAATATACTCTGAAAAAATATATATACTCTGATATTATTCATGCATGAGAAAATATTGCCTACATTTTATCATTCAGTCATTGCTGTTTAATTTACTTTAAATTCGTTGTGTAAGGAAAAGCATGTTTTGTTGACAAATTCAAAATTAAAATGTTATACTTTTGTGGGGGTGGAGAAGGGGAGCCAAGTGTATTTAAATATTTCCCAGCATCAAAAAAAGAGTCAAAATCTACTTTTAATACCCAAATTTTGGGGTTTGTATGTTTTAGGATTAAAAGGATGTACTAATTTATTTTTATAATTTTTGCTCTACGTGATGAAAACGTTTCAGGCTTTTGTTTGCAGAATTTCTCTACAAATAACATGCTGCTGAAAGAGGTAGACTTTTCCCTCTTACATGAAAAGCCAAATTGGATTATAATCACTAAAATTTTACCTTATCATTGCTTTTTTTTTTTGGTGCCTCAGAAACATAGTGGTGCATTTTATATAATTTTTTTTTTTTGTGGTACGCGGGCCTCTCACTGTTGTGGCCTCTCCCGTTGCGGAGGATGCACAGGCTCAGCAGCAATGGCTCACAGGCCTAGCCGCTCTGCGGCATGTGGGATCTTCCCAGACCGGGGCATGAACCCATGTCCCCTGCATCGGCAGGTGGACTCTCAACCACTGCACCACCAGGGAAGCCCCATTTTATATAACTTTATACTTTGATGAGTGGGGTTTAGGGTTGAATCTAACTTTCATATCTAGCAGAGAGCATGTTAGGTACATTTATAAAATGACTGTATCCATCAAATCCGTGTTCCCTAAGCTTCCCATTATTAGCCAACAGCCCATTATGGGTATATAAATTAAGCAACACATCAATACGTGTGACTGATAATAAAATCAATTTTAAAATGTGTAATAATCAAAACCACACATGGATATGGGGTTCAGCTGAGTGAGTCCTGAGTTCGTTCAGCTGATTTCCACTACCCCTACATATGTAGCATGGAAAGCACTTAGAACATTCTGTTTTAAAAGTGGATATTAGGGACTTCCCTGGTGGTGCAATGGTTACAATCCACCTGCCAATGCAGGGGACACAGGTTTGAGCCCTGGTCCGGGAAGATCCCACATGCCGCGGAGCAACTAAGCCTGTGCACCACAACTACTGAGCCTGTGCTCTAGAGCCCGCGAACCACAACTACTGAAGCCCATGTGCCCTAGAACCCGTGCTCCACAACAAGAGAAACCACCATAATGAGAAGCCTGCGCACTGCAACAAAGAGTAATCCCCACTCGACAAAACTAGAGAAAGCCCACACACAGCAACTAAGACCCAATGCAGCCAAAAATAAATAAATAAATATATTAAAAATAATAATAATAAAGTGAAAGTAGGATATTAGAATAATTATTTATTAGTTTTCAGAAATTGGTAATGTTATCTATTTTAGTTTCACTTATAGTTCCCAAGTATCATGGAATACCTTTATGAATCTCTGGGATTTTGATAACTACTTGTTGGAAAATCCTGTTATCAGATGACCTTGAGGTTCTATATAGCGCTGATGTTCTAAAAAGCTTGTAATAATTTGCAAATTGGTACAGATTGGTACAAACTTGTCTATTCTTTCTATTATGGAATGACTGAAAGTTTAGAAAGGTTGTAGTACTACTACTTAGTGACAGAGAAAGCTCCTCAAGCATCCTGTTTCCATCAATAGGTAATCATAAACCTCTCATCATTGAATTTTCTACACCATTTGGGAGGGTATTTTATGTTTTGCCTTTTGGAGAAAGTCATAATAAAGGTGCTACCTCCTAGGGGAGATATGTTTCTAGGTTTACTGTCTCTACACAAATTAATAATTCCTTTGATTAAAAAAAAATTAATGCTCCTTTTAAGACTTTAAAATGCCCCTAGATTTAGTATTTCAGAATTTCATGAAAAAGTCTGTGTTCACCCCTCCAGGTTTTAGCTCTGGATTATAACTATTCTTAAGTGCTTTTTTTGGCCAAGTTGAATAATAAGCTTTTTACCTGTTCTTATATAGCAAACTTTCCGTGTCTTACATCACTGGACATTATGGGACTCATTTTGTAACCTTGGACAAATACTCTCACCTTTCTGAGCCTCATTTTCTCCATATATGAAAAAGAGATAGTGATAACTAGCTAGAGTTGTTGACAGAATTAAATGAGAAAATCTCTGCAGTGCTTAGCACTGTACCTGTCTTATGTTAAGCACTCCATAAATTTTAACTGCCACAAGTATCATCATCATCATCATCATCATCATCATCATCATCTCCCAACTTTCAAACCTGTGAGTTTTGTCCCTTAATGGGGGTGGGGACAGCAGATTTTTTTAAGGGTTCTATGTATCTATAGGATCCAAAATATATTTGTAAACTGAATAAATAATATGACTCATGTATAAATGACTATTGTCCAAATAAATATAGATGATATTGTGAATAATAAAATACAGATTCATTTAAATTGTTAAAGAGTTCACAATAACATTTTGATATTATTTTTCTCAATTTGTGAACACTAGAAGTTATATTTGAATTTTTTAATGTTAAAAGGGGATCTACAAGCTTGAAATGGTTGAAGCCCAGTGTCTTTATCATTCTAGTCTTTGATTTCTTGCTTTTTGTAATTCATTGTGTCTGCTTTTGAGGTTTAATTATCCAGACCATACCGCAGATTCCTATGCACCATAGCTTCATACAATGTTTGGATGTTGTTTTCTTTTTATTTCTCATATACTAACTGATGGCATCCAACTGTTTCTTGGCATTTGGTTAACATCATAATATGAATTGATGCTGGGAGAACCTAGCATGGTTCTGGCACACTTTGTATTGGGTAATAATGATGGTGGTCTCCTCAGGTTTGTGTGTGAGAGTTAGGTGTCCATCCTCCATTGTCCTGGTTTATGTCGGGTACCCACACCTGGACTGATCAGCTATGACCAGAAAGGTGGGATATTCCAGTGGCCCATCTTGGACTGGGTGCCAGCTCCAGCTCAATCTGGAATATCACAGCTGTCCAGGGAAATCACATAACTAGAGTGGTGGGAATCATTTCCCAGAAGATGTGGAGATTGGTGCTTTGTAGCAGAACATAGCTGTCCTCTGTAATATTGTTTTGTAATTATCAGTTCCTTATACATTCTTCTAATTGACTACAAGTGAGTTCTTAGAGGAAGGTATACTTTGTTCAGCTCTATCCCCAGGCCTAGGACAGCATCTGTTGCAAATCATTTTTAATAAATGACGAACTAATGAATTAATGTAATACATTATGGTTACAAAGTGGTTATGTAAGGTTGTTTTTTTTTTTTTTTAAACTGGCCATCATCAAAAAATCTACAAACAATAAATGCTGGAGAGGGTGTGGAGAAAAGGGAACCCTCTTGCAGTGTTGGTGAGAATGTAAATTGATATGTAAGGCTTTGTCATGTCTTACCTAGTGCAAGTAACCTAAACAGTTCTGAGTTCTAGTTCTGATCCATTCATTTATGATTCACCAAACTCCGAGCTTCAGTCTCTTCCTATATGAAATGGAGAACATCTGCGTTCTATGATTGTCTCCATTTAGAGAAGTGAATTTGCATTGAAAGTAAAAATACTATATTATGTGCACATAAAAATTCCATATGTTTTTCAGAGTTTGCTGTGTATTTATCATTTGCTTACTTGTGGATCAGAAAATATAAAGTCATCAGTGTTGGCTAAAACAGTTGGAAATACCTCCTTTTAGTGTCTTTTTAGCTCTGCTCAGAGGAGCACATATGATAGATGTATCTTTGGTTGGAGTATATGGACTTTAAATTTAGTCATTAATAGTGATTCCCACAGGTAATCAACTCTCCAAATGGGTGATGAGGAGTTATAAACTCTCTAAACATTCCACTGTGTCCTTTTTTACTGGTTTTTAGGTTTTTGTCAAGCAGGAAAGGATTTGCGTTTGGTATCTCTGTGTATGGAACAAATCGACATCCCAGCAGGATTCCTCCTGGTGGGGGCCAAGTCTCCCAATCTTCCTGAACACATCCTAGTGTGTGCTGTAGACAAGCGATTTCTACCAGATGATCATGGAAAAAATGCACTTTTAGGTGAGTATTTCATACCTATGAAGTTCCTTCTGAGATAAAGGAATTAAAATACAAGTTTATTTTAAATTATCACAGAATTTTTAAAATCACAGAATTAACTGGGGATTACATATTAGTTTAAGTAAGAAGCACTTTTTCATTTTGTAACTTCTTAAAAATTAGCTTTCACTTTTTTATTAACTCTCAAAACATTCACCTTAATGAAGAGACTTTTTAAAACTAGCATTAAAGAACACCATACAATTTATCAAAAATAAATATTTTGTGAAATAAAGTAGGATTCACTCTCCATAGAGTCATTGATCTGGATCTGATATCAAATCAACTCTCAATTATTCAACTGTGGATTATCCACTTTGTAAGTCAGTGGTAGTTTTTCGCTACCACCCATTATTTCTAACTACACTTGATTGATGTGATTCTCATTTTATATTTAGCATTAGTTCAATCAAGATAACTAGGAATATACCTGTGATGTAAAATGTTTTAACTTTATGTCAGAATTGTTTTACTTTCTAGTATTACTTTGGACTTTTTTCACAACATAGCTTTCCTACATCATGGGAAATAACAAAGAGGTTTACTTTTTAATTATTCTTTTTTAAATTGAAGCATAATTCATTTACAATATTATATTAGTTTCAAATGTACAGCATAGTGATTCAATATTCTTACAGATTATACTCCATTAAAAGTTATTACAAGATAATGGCTATAATTCCCTGTGCTGAAATATATATTCATGTTGCTTATCTATTTTATACTAATAGTTTGTATCTCTTAATCCCTGACCCCTATCATCCCCCCCTTCCCTTTATCCACTGGTAACTACTAGTTTGTTTTCTATATCTGTGAATCTGTTTCTGTTTTGCTATATACATTCATTTGTATTATTTTTTGAATTCCATATGTAAGTGATATCATACAGTATTTGTTTTTCTCTATCTGACTTATTTCACTAAGCATGATACCCTCTAGGGTCATGCACGTTCCAACAGATGGCAGAATTTCATTCTTTTTTGTGGCTGAGTAATATTCCATTGTGTGTGTGTGTGTGTGTGTGTGTGTGTGTGTGTATCACATCTTTGTTATCCATTTTTCTGTTGATGGATACTTAGATTGCTTCCATATCTTGGTTATTGTAAATAATGTTGCCATGAACAGTGGGGTGCATGTATCTTTTCAAATTAGTGCTTTCATTTTCTTCGGCTATATACCCAGTACAGGAATTAATAGATCATGTAATAGTTCTATTTTTAGTTTTTTGAGGAACTCACATTACCCTTTTCCATAGTGGCTGCACCAATTTACATTCTCACCAACAGTGTACAAGGGTTTCCTTTTCTCCACATCCTCACCAACATTTGTTATTTGTAGACTTTTTGATGATAGCCATTCTGACAGGTGTGAGATTATATCATTGTTGTCTTGATTTGCGTTTCTGTAATAATCATCAGTGTTGAGAATCTCTTCATGTGCCTATTAGCCATCTGTATGTCTTCTTTGCAAAAATGTCTATTCAGGTCTTCTGCCCATTTTTTGATTGGGTATTTTGTTTTTTTGATACTGAGTTGTACGAGCTGTTTATGTATTTTGGATAGTAACCCCTTTTGGTAATATCATTTGCAAATATTTTCTCCCATCCCATAGTTTGTCTTTTCATTTTGTTTATGGTTTCCTTTGCTGTGCAAACGTTTTTAAGTTTAATTAGGTCCCATTTGTTTATTTTTGCTTTTATATCTTTTTCCTTAAGAGACAGATCCAAAAAAAATATTGCTACGATTTATGTCAGAGTGTTCTGCCTACATTCTCTTCTAGGAGTTTTAGATTGTAGGTCTTACATTTAGGTCTTTAATCCATTTTGATTTTAGTTTTATACATGGTGTGAGGAAATGTTCTAATCTCATTGTTTTACATGTAGCTGTCCAGTTTTCCCAGCACCTCTTATTGAAGAGACTGTCTTTTCTCCATTGCATATTCTTGCCTCCTTTGTCATAGATTAATTAACTTAGATGTGGGCTCTCTATTCTGTTCCATTGATCTATGTGTCTATATGCCAGTACCATGCTGTTTTGATTACTGTAGCTTTGTTGTAGAGTCTGAAGTCTGTGAGGGTGATACTTCCAGCTTTGTTCTTTTTTCTCAAGATTGTTTTGGCAACTCAGGGTCTTTTGTGGTCTCATATGAATTTTAGGATTATTTATTCTAATTCTGTGAAAAATGTCATGGGTATTTTGATAGAGATTGCATTAAATCTGTAGATTGCTTTCAGTAGTATGGCCATTTAAACAATATTAGTTCTTCCAATCCAAGAGCATGGGATATCTTTCCATTTCTTTGTATCATCTTCAGTTTCATTCGTCAGTGTTTTATAGTTTTCAGAGTATAGGTTTTTCATTTCCTTGGTTGAGCTTATTCCCAGGTATTTTATTCTTTTTGATGTGATCTTAAATTAGATTACTTTTCACTCTCTCTTTCTGATAATTCATTATTGGTGTATAGAAAAGCAGCACATTTCTGTATGTTAATCTGTATCCTGCAACTTTGCTGAATTTATTAGTTCTAATAGTTTTGGAGTAGAGATTTTTGGTTTTTCTATAAAAAGTATCATGTCATCTGTAAATAGTGGCAGTTTGACTTCTTCCCTTCCAATTTGAATTTATTTCTTTGTCTTATCTGATTGGCTAGGTTTTTCAATACTAGAAGTGGCAAGAGTGGGAATCTTTGTCTTGTTCTTGAATTTAGAGGAAAGGCTTTCAGGTTTTCACCTTTGAGTATGATGTTAGCTGTGGATTTGTCATAAATGGCCTTTATTATGTTGAGATATGTTCCTTCTGTACCCATTTTGATGAGAGTTTTTATCATGAATGGATGTTGAATTTTGTCAGTTGCTTTTTCTGCATCTACTGAGATGAACATGTGATTTGTATCCTTCCTTTTGTTAGTGTGGTGTATCATATTGATTGATTTGCAAATATTGAACCATCCTTTCATCCCTGGAATAAATCCAACTTGATCATGGTGTATGATCCTTTTTATAGATTGTTGGATTCAGTTTGCTAATATTTCGTTCAGGATATTTGCATCTGTATTAATTAAAGATATTGGCCTGTAATTTTCTCTTTTTATAATGTCTTGTCTGGTTTTGGCATCAGGGTAATGGCGGCCTCAGAGAATGAATTTGGGGAGTATTCCATCCTTTTCAATTTTTGGAATAGTTTGAGAAGGATAGGTATTAGCTCTTCTTTATATGTTTGCTAGAATTCCCATGTGAAGCTGCCCAGTCCTGGACTTTTGTTTGCTGGTAGTTTTCTTATTACAAATTCAATTTCACTGCTAGTGATCAGTCTGTTCAAATCGTCTGTTTCTTCTTGATTCAGTCTTGGCAGATTGTATGTTTTTAGAAATTTGTCCCTTTCTTCTAGGTTGTGCAGTTTGTTGGTGTATAACTATTTGTAGTATTCTCTTATGGCTTTTTTGTATCTCTGTGGTATCAGTTGTTATTTCTCCTTTTTCATTTCTTATTTTGCTTATTTGTATCCTCTTTTCTTCTTGGTGAGCCTGGCTAATGATTTATCAATTTTGCTTATCTTTTCAAAAAAAACAGCTCCTGGATTTCATTGATCTTTTCTATTGTTTTTTTAAATCTCTGTATTATTTCTTTCTTTCTGATCCTTATTATTTCCTTCCTTGTGCTGATTTTGGGCTTTGTTTGTTCTAATTCCTTTTGGTGGTAGGTTAGGTTGTTTATTTCACATGTTTCTTGTTTCTTGAGGAAGGCCTGTATTGCCATAAACTTCTCTATTAGAACTGCTTTTGCTGCATCCCATAGATTTTGGAGTGCTGTGTTTCCACTTTCATTTGTCTTGAGGTATTTTCTGATTTCCTCTTTGATTTCTTCATTGACCCATTGGTTTTTAGTAGCATGTTGTTTAGTCTCTATGTGTTTGTTCTTTTCCCATTTTTCTATCTGTAATTGATTTCTAGTTTTATACTGTTGTGCTTGGAAAAAAAATGCTTGATATAATTTCTGTCCTCTTAAATTAGTTGAGACTTGTTATGTGGCCTAGCACGTGATCTTTGCTGGAGCACATTCCATGTGCACTTGAAAAGAATTTGTACTGTGCTGTTTTTGGATGTAATGTCCTGTAGATATCTACTAAGTCCAGTTGGTCTGTTGTGTTGCCTTATTGATTTTCCATCTGGATGGTCTGTCCATTGATGTCAGTGGGGTGTTAAAGTCCCTTACTATTACTGTGTTATTGTTGATTTCTCCTTTTATGTCTGTTAGTATTTTCTTAATATATTTAGGTGCTCCTGTATTGGGTGCATATATGTTAAATAGTGTAATATCCTCCTCTTGTATTGATCCTTTTATTATATTATGCCCTTCTTTGTCTTTTGTGTGTTATAGCCTTTGTATTAAAGTCTATTTTGTCTCATATAAGTATTACTACCCCTGCTTTCTTGTCAGTTTTGTTTGCTGAAATATCTTTTTTCATCCCCTCACTTAAACTCTGTGTGTGTCTTTAGCTCTGAAATGAGTCTCTTGTAAGCAGCATATAAAAAGGTCTTATTTTTTAATCCAGTCAGTCACCCTATGTCTTTTCTGTGTGTCCAATTTTTTATTGTGGTAAAATACACATAACATAAAATGTACCGCCTTAACCATTTTAAGTGTACAGTTCGGTGGTATTAAGTACATTCATCTTGCTGTGCAAGCATCACCACCATCCAACCACAGAACTCTTTCCATCCTGCAAAACTGAAACTCTGTACCCATTAAACACTAACTCCCCATTACCCCCTCCCTCTAACCCCTGACAACCACCATTTTTCCTTATTTTTTTAATCTGCCCTTTCCCCCCCAATCCTAGCCTCTGGTAACCACCATTCTACTCTCTATTACTATAAGTTTGGCTCTTGTTATTATTATTTTTTTACCCTATGTCTTTTGACTGGAGCATTTAGTCCATTGACATTTAAAGTAACTATTGATA